GAGAAGGTAATGAAAACATGTCCACGGAAGCACGACGAACTAACGAGTAAATTACAGGGCGGCTGGCGGGCGGAAGAATCGCTTGCCCTCGCAGATCGGCCCATCAGATAACTTTCAACGCCATTAATGCTATACGGCTGTTTACGAGGCAAACGCGACGCAACGTTGAGTCCATTGTATTGCCAGGGTCCAGGACACAGCTCCGATTTCGATGACCTACGTGATTTCCATCGATTTTTCGCGGTGGGCACCGTTCGAACCTCGGTCCTTTAAATCGGATTTAAAAGAGAGCGACACTTTAGTACACTTTTATCCCGATATCAAGAATCCTTACACGAGGCAAAGGAGGAACAATACATTTCGTACCGTATTACTGTTAAGGATTGTATGCTTTACGGTAAACTAAATCCTCTTTAATCCTTATAGAATGCTATCAATATTGAGTGACGTAACAATGGCTATCGATACGTAAATTTTAACGTACGAGAAAGTAGGCCATTCTTAGTTAATGTAACGCAAATTATAATTAACATTCACGCTTTTAGTGACAAAATATTTTTTTATCTAAATATTTTTTATCTAAATAAATCTTTATAAGTACAAAGAACAAACGTTATTTCCAAATTTGTATCATAGCTAAATTTTTTAATATTTCAGCAGTATCGTTCTTTCAGTGTAGATCATTTTTTTTTTCTACGAATATAAATCTATCGGATTTTGTGCTCTTTCATCAATAAAGTGGTTTGACTGCGATATCGAACGATCGATCGCGCCGGTGAAATTTTGTCACATTTACATCCTGTATACAGTATCTACGGTTTCTCCGCGACGGTAAAATTCCTTTTTTTCTGGAGGCACATTTCTGAATAATCGATAAACGCGCAAAGCTCATCGGACATGATAATACCGCGAGGTGGAAAAAATTGCGCGTATCATTTAAAAGTATGCTTCGTCCTCGCGTAAACTATGCGTATATTTTCATCGAATTTCAATGAGCGATGTTATACGCGCGTCGTCCCTCGACGTGTAAAAGTGCGCTACGTAAATCCGCTTATGCCTTCGCACTGCATCCGTGTGCGACGATAACACTTGTCCGCATATTTCGTGAAAATATCATTTGCCTAAAGCGATAACGAAGTGTCACTTTGGCATGTGAAGGACACGCGCGATACCTTGTGCCTATAAGTAAAGAACTTCAGTTTTGCTGAAGCATCGAAAAATGTAGCTATAGATACAGATCTGAAAATAATTTCGTTGAACTATCAAAATAATTATATAGGATGCTTAAACTGATGAAAATTCCATATAGGGATCCTAACAACCTAGAAACCCCAACGTTTAGTCAACGCTACGACTGTCAACTGAGCTAACTTTCTGGGCCTGTTCTTTTTCCAAGAATTCTGGACTAGTTCAGTGCAACAAGTTAGAGTGAAAGAAACTACAGCTGTCTCACTCTAATTTACACATCAGTGTACACCAGTTCGGAACTTGAGGTGGGAATAGACTTTTATCAACCAGTACTGGGCCGTTATGATTACTGGCAAATGACTGGCTAAAATGACTGGGCCAGTACTGTTTGTCAGTACTGGACCCAAGTTATCATCCAGCTTAGCTAGTATTGGGCTAATTTACCAGTACTTGAATTGTAACAACTAATAATGACTTAGCACTGAGCCGATTGTAAAACTCTACATAGGATATCAAAATGTTTACAAAATCGCTTTTATTATATTTTGAATTCCCTATAATTCTGTTGATGTTTCCAACAAAATTATTTTTAGATCTGTATCTAGTTAAATACTTTAAATACTTTAGCAAAATATCGTTCTTTCCGTGTAACTCTTACGCCAATTTAATTATATCTTTCTTCTTTCTTCTGGCGAATTACTCTTTACAACTTAGATTTTTGTGATAAATATTATTAATTCCTCGTGCAAAGATCGTATTGCTATCTTTTACTTCGACACTTTCGACATCATTTCATCAACTTTTGCAATTATGACAAATATACTTTTATACTTAGCGTTTTTTCTTACATGATAAATCATTGTTTGGTCATAATAATCTATATGAAGTAAAGACTCTGGAATAAAATTTAAATGGCGATAAAAGCTTTATGTTACAAACATTTTCTATATTTTAAGACAAAAAAGTACGGATATAAAAGTCTGAATTTGACTTTCTTTCTTTTGTTTCTTGATCATTCAATTGCATTCTTACAAATTTTTTATTGCGTGATGTCGTTTACAAGTTATCGTGCAATCGTATTTATCATCAAGTAGTCGAGGAAACGAAGTTATTTTACAAGCTTCTTTTAAATTTTAAGGAAAGAAAAAATATAGAAGTTTGAATTTAATTGACCTTTTTTCTTGATCACCTGATCGTATTCTAGACTTGGAAATTTTTTATTACGTCAATGTTTAGAAATTATCAGAGTCGTAACAAATCCCTTATCCTAAATTCTATAACTTTTCCTTGATTTTCAGACAAAATTTCATGACTTTCTCTGATGATTTCAATAATATTTCGAAATTTTTGAAATTTTCATCCTGATTTGAAAAACCTCAAATATTTTATTGAGAGAGCAATTTAACAACGTTTATGACAACGTAAATATTATTAATATTGTTTGCACCGTTTTTATTTAATTGTTAAGTCAGTAATGTTCTTGTGTAAGTGTAATGTACGCATATTTTATATTTATTTAAAACCAAGAATTTTTATTTGCCAAAAAATTTTGCAAAATTTTCTGACTTTTCCCTAGTTTCCTTGAGCGTTCCTAATTTCTCTGATTTCCAGTTTTGCGGCAACCCTGATTATGTAAATCGCGCAATCGTATTTATCGTCGTATGTTTGGAGAATCCGTCGCGTTAAAGTGGGTCTGCTACTTTCGTGACGACGCATACGTGACATCCTAATTTATTCAAAAAAAATTCCGAAGTGTGTATCACGATGATCGTTCTGACGTCTCTTTTGAATAATATTCTTTGAAAAACAGGGGGACACAGAGAGGGAGCAATTCGTATTCGGTTATGTGAGTATCTGGTAAAAGATCTGAAAGACACGGCACGTTTCGAAGTAGCAGCTACGGTATCTCGGCGATCGCGTTTCCATTAGAAATGCTCACGATACACTTCAGCGTATTCAAGCACTCGATTACTATCGACGGTAAAGTATCGATTATTTTAATACAGCGATACAAGCCGAGTATTCTTTACGTGTGTATATGTTTATGTATACGTGAACGTGTACCGCTTATTTCAGTAGATAGACTCTAAAAATCTGAAAGACGACGCTGAAAATTATGATGTTCGAAAGATTAAACGGAGAGGTTGACAGATTATTACAGTACTTTTTAATCCGTCCGGGGATTTATTTTCACAACAAACTAATTGTTAATTGCAAAATTAACTTTGTAGATAAGAAATGCATGTACACATCTTTTTTGCAATGCAAATATTTAAAAAGAAATCAGTCAAAAAGGATACAATATTAAAACGATTTTATTACTAATTAATTCATTTATATTACTGATAGGAGTGAGCAATGTAAATGAATAAATTAGTAATAAAAATTAATAAATTAAGATAAAATTATATAAAATCCTTTGTATTTTTTTTTAATTCTAAGTAAGTTTTATCGTACAATTAGCTAAATTTTTCAATGCGGAATTTATTTATTTCAGTATTTGACGTCAAAAAATAAGTTATAAAATATAATGCGTGAACAGATTTTTGTTAAATAGTATCTATTTAGCATATAACTATTGACTATTGACATTTGACTATTTAAATAGTTAAATAGTCCATACAATTTAAATTTTATTTAATGAATAAATTTGATGTTTAAATTTTATAACACTTGTTAAGAGCGTCTTATACATAATTATTTTGATGAATCAACAAAATTATTTTCAGATCTGTATCTACCTAAATTTTTAAATATTTCAGCAAAACCTACCTCTCCGTATAAATTTCGTGTTTATATTTTATTGGATTTAAGGATATTCTGTGCGAACTGTTCCTCATTAAAGTCACGCTTTTTTTGAACTGCGAAAATAATATACACTGAAGCGTTTCATTTCTACCTTCACGTGTGACGTAGTTATCCCGGTCAATATTACTCAGCGTCCCACGTATTTTTAACTTGGATTATAGCGAATATTGAATTTCATCGGACGCACAAATTCGCTATTTTACTCGACTCTGTAATCTCGCGCTATATTTTTGAGCCATGTGAAATGCGACGGGCGCGTGATTACGTGCTCAACGCGAGCAATTTTATCGTTCTGTCGACGACGCACGGCGCGATATCCCTCGGAAATCCCAAATGACATAACAAAATAAATGCAAAATCGCTTCGAGCGGTCGAGTGGCAACTCTCGAAACGAAATATGATGCGGATGCGAGGATTTATGCGGCTTCCGCGATATTTCTCATTTAAAGCCATTTCATTTCGGATTGGTCGACACTACATGACGCGACATTTTCGTCGAGTGCGGACTGTCATTGTTTTAAAATCGCTGGAATGATCCGAAGACGCGATGGCATCTCGATGCCGAATGCACGAAATAATACGTTTGACATCCGATTACATCGGTCGCGATTATGAAAATTTTGGTGTGATTTTTTTCTAGCCAAAATAGCTCACAAACACTTTTTACTATATACATAATATATTTTATTACTTTCGATATCATCTATAACAATACATTGCGCATTAGTTTTCAACAATTAAATTTCTTGACCAGGGAATCACAATTTCTTATTCTATCTATATATAATTTCATGACAATAAATAGATTCAAAGATTATTATAAACTATGCAATATATGTCGTCTATCGCTTAACGATTATTACAAACAAATAGCGTTTATGAATTCCTTAGACATAATAGAAGTCATCGACATGGTGCGTCTTCGCGAAATTCGTAATATTATATTCAACGTACGTGTCACTTTCGAAGCGGTTTGCACAAGACTTCGAAATTTGCGTAATTACCTGATTTTGGGCGTTTTGCTCGGCCATGGCTTTTTCTTTCGCTTGCCTCTTACATTTATACCGATGATTTTGGAACCATATCTTCACCTGTAAAGCACACATAAAACGCACAATTAAGTCTTTATTAAATACAGCAATATTAATGTTATAATCTATATGTTCTTACATTAAACATAAATGGATCTTTCATTGAAAAGGAACTTTTTCTAGCTCTTTTAAATTACTCGTGCATCTTTGATAAAAAGATTAGACAGGAAAGAAAGAAACAGTTTTAATAAAAATATCTAAAAATGTAGCTACATATAGAATTGAAAATAATTTAAACTATCAAAATAATTATGTAGGACGCTCAAACTGATTGCTAGAATGTAAAATTTTTTATAGCATTTTTTTTATCGTGTTTAAATTTTCTATATAATGATCTTGATCCATCTTGATCGAACAAAATTATTCTCAGATCTGTATAATTTCAACAAAATTATTCTTTCCAATACAATGACATATTTAAAGCAAATATAATCGAATATATCATCATCTATGGAGTAAGAATGATAAACCTAAGTCAGGAAATTTCGTTATGTAGACGATATATGCGAATCTATATAGAGACATACTGTATAGTGGAGAGAACAGGCGCGATGTTTGGGACATTCTATGAACATTCTACGAAGTTCTTGGAAGTAAAGCCTAAAATCGACCGCGTTGAGTCGCTCTTTATGTCGAAATAGAACGGATGACATATCTCGTACGCGAACTATCACCAAGACCCTTGGATGTTTTTTCGGGACGGAGCTACGAGCCTTTGTTAAACGCATTTTGAATCGGTCTGTAGCTATTCCTTATTCCGATGCTCTAAGTCCGTAATCCACGGTTTAGAGGACTGTGTTATTTCTTCGAGGGGAATTTAACGCCTCGTTCACTTTATGCGGATACTCAGTGTTGAGGAGGAAAATAATACGAGTTTTATGTATTATTTTTATCGGAAGAATCACCGAGAATCTCTCAATTTTCTATTGTGTGAATTTTAGGTGAGGATTGGATCTCAAAAATAATCTCGTGGAACTACAATTGTTTGTCCCTTACGAGAAACAGCAGTGATCGGTACTTAGAAATTCAAAATCTTGATCAAAATATATCTTTTGTCTCACGTCTATTGCGTAATAATACATAAAAACGTGTCCCAAAATTAACGAAAACCCCTAACCATTTTACAACTCACAATTTTTGTAACAAAGTAATTAATATCCTTCTTAAATGAAAATATTGAAAGAGGAATAAATCTTAGTAACAATGATTTGTCTATTTCTTTTAGTAATAAATTCTGTTGTGTCCATTTCTATGTAGATTAATCTTAATTTCGATTTAATTTATTTTTTTTTTACTTTTTTGTAATAACTCAGAAAAGAAGATAAAAAGCAAGTTAAACTACATTGATAGAAATGAACATTATTAATAAATTATTGTTACTGTCTATTCCCTATTCAATATTTTAATTAATAATAACTTGTTGTTATTCGGATATTTGAAAATAAGAATATAAAAATGAAATACTGTAGGTACATATATTACCAAACTTATATTTATATCGATGTTATTTTACATATGTTTTGCGATAACAAAACCTGTTAAAAAATGTAATCAAGCGGTAAGATATATTTTGGATTATGAAGCCTGGCTCGGATGCGATCAAGCCTCTATGGATCGTACATAATGCATATAGCGCGGATTATAACGCGCTTCTGTCATAAGCAGATGTCGATCTCGATTCCGTCCAGACGACTGCACAACTTCCACGATCGCTTAGCTCAATTGCCGTAAAAGCAGTCTCGAGCGACCCTAATCGCACGCGACTGTTCCAACTGAAAACTCAAAAGCTACCTTCTCTGTTCTGAATAAACCAAGCAACAAAATTCATCGACTAACTCTCGTTATATCAACAAATCAGATATACAGAATTTTTCTTCGAACTGAATTCTTCGGTCAATTTCAAATCAATCGTCTCTTACAAAAATATCAAGACTTTATCATTATTTTTATATATATATAAACTTTTTATTGTATTAATTTTCCTGTGTTTTCAATGTTACATATATCTAGCGAATAAACGTTAAATTAAAAATCAAGCGAATTAGGTCTATATTTAAAATTAATTAAGAAATATAATTCATATTTATTGTAACACATTTATTCATTTAGCTTAATTTTCAAAAATTCTTATATTCAGATGATAAATTAAATTTCAAAAGTTCAAGAAAAATGAATCCCCTAAATTAGGTTTAAGAATATTTTTGCTGACTGTTCGTTTCTCTATCTTGTGATGATCTCGTAGAAACTGTTATTTCTGAATGTTATTTTCATAGCCCGAATTTGTCAGGTGTGTCAGGCGGACTCTTCATCGGTACAGTGTAAACTCAACTATTGCGTATCGTTTTGCAGTAGCTGATTTTTATCGTCCCGATCCATAGAGCGCATATGTTACCGCGTGTAACCTCGTCGAGTGGCTGTTGTACGCTCCGACCTCGTTTCCGAAGCCGATATAACCCCCATTATACATCGGAGTTGCGTGTGTCGAGAATGCAACGAAAGCACTTTAAGGGGTCCGTCCAGCCGACCGCGTCTCGAGGACCCGCCACCGTCTGTCTAATTCTTTGAATATTAGCGGGATCGGCCGCCCTCGAAAATTCCTTTCACCCCTCTCGGATGTCGCCTCGAGCGTGGCCAGAATACCGGTGGTTGCCCCGCGTGTGGTGTACTACTTTTCTCTATTATTCAATTTTTGTTTTCTAGAGTTCGTGTTGCTTTGTATATATTGTTAGATTCAACTGTACAAAAACTTTACAGAATCGATGATGCAGTTTTATATATGCGCGAAAAGAATGATTTTGCTGAAGTATCTAAAAATTTAGCTGCATGCAGATCTGAAAACAATTTTGGTTCATTAAAATAATTATTTAGGAATCTTAAGCGTGATGAGCAATACTGCAAAAGTTTTTATATTCTACTAATTAATTTGATCGTTCTAATTATTTTAAGGGACTGATAAAATTATTTTCAAATCTGTATCTTGTATAGTTAAAATTTTAGATACTTTAGCAAAACCGGTTTTTTTGTGTAAAAAAATATGAAAAAATTAAGAATTTTTTAATACAAAGCTTCTATTTGGGAAAAATCCAATTTAAATACAGAAAGAATTAACGATTTTGCTGAAATATCTAAAAATTCAGGTAGCTACAGGTTTAAAATAATTGTGTTGAACCATTAAAATGATTATGTAGAAGAAATTTAGGCATAACGAGCACAATGCTGCAAAACTTTTTTTTTTTATATTCTTGCAATCATCGAGAGTGTCTTACATTATTATTTTGATAATTCAATAAAATTACTTTCACATCTGTCTAGCTAACTTTTAGACACTTCAGCAAAACCGTTTCTTCTGTGACGATCGGAAAAATAGTACTATCTTTCCTCTATCTTAATTTGTATAATTTTCAACAAATCCTCGCTGTATCATCGATGAGTTTGTTATAATACTTTTTACAAAATTCAATCTCACGACATATAAAATCGATTTAACAGTTCTATTCTCTAATTGAATAAAAACTCTACGTTACATTAAAAGTTCTATAAAATTAAAAAAAGATTAAAAATATTTAGATATATAAAAAAAAACTCCACTTATTGACTTTAATTTTATTAACTATGCTACTTTCAAAAAAATAAAATATTACATATTTATTCAAAGTTTAAACAAATCCCCTTGACGACCCCTGAAAATGTAACATACACAGATTTCATTATTACACAGTATTTGCTTGAGACAATTTTTTTCAGAAATGGCTCATCATTAAAGTGAACCGTGTAAATTCATCTTAAGGAGCATTACCGCGAAGGAAAGTAATACTCGCAGCCCTCGCTGTTGTTCGTTGCGTGAGTTTTTACGTACGCTTTGTGGCACGGCCGGTTTTGCGTAGGGGGTGAGAGACCTTATCTAAAAGCCACGAAGAGGTACTAGACGAGGGAAGTACCTCTTTTGCTGCTCCCGTTCGTTAATTCCTTTTCTACCGATAATCCACTCGAAGCTCGTCGAGTTTTCGGCTACGTACGCCGCGCTCTGACTTCGAGAGATCTACAAACAGCCATTTACTTATGCGCGAGCTTACGTAGAATATATGACGGAATTATATGTGACGTGGATCTTCTAGATCCGCGCTCTCATAGGATTTTGGATCTTCCGAAACCAAATCGATCTCTTCGCGAACTTTTGTACTTAACATCCCTGGTATGTTCTATTTTCGAACGAGAGGTTTTGGAAGATTGTTAGGGAATTATTTGCACGTTGGGAAAGGAGAGAGAGAGAGAGAGAGGAGAGAGGATTCCGAATAACTTCAAATAAATACTTCAAATGAAAGTTGTAGGGTTTAAGAAAGATGAGCCATTTATAATAAGGTCCAGGTTAATTTTTTTGTCATTTACCTTGGATTCAAAATCTAAGTAATTCATTTTATGGTCCTCTTCAAATCTTGTACAACTTTTATCCGAAATATTTCTTTCAAAAATGCATTGTTCTTGAGATATTTTCTATTAAAGTGGCCACAAGTTTTGTACAGAATCCATAAGATTTGACCATCTAGAATCCTTATTTTTAAACGTGATCTTTTGACTGGTAATGTTAGTTTTTTTAAGTCTAATGGAACGTGTACAACAAACCTTATAGGAACAGTTCAATCTTGACAGTCATGTAAGTTTTTTTGTTTACCATTTTTCGCGTATAATCTCATGTTAGCATTTTTTAAATTATTTTTAACCTCTTGGTCGATCGTTTTAAAACAAAAAATCTTTTTCTTTTTAAGTTAACTTAATAATTTAATGACCAAGATTAACTCGGACATCATCATCACGGTTTTTCTCGCATTTTACATGTTATTAACTTATACTCGTATGCGCTATCATTATGTAATTTTGTTAATTTATTTTTTTTTTGTACTGAAGAGGTTTTTTTTATACTTGACCATAGGTCGAAACGTATACGTATAATATTCACTTTGAATAAATGGTAGAAAAATACACACTAATAACCAGTGTTGGCT